GGCATCGCGGCCGGCAGACAACGTTCCTGAGTCCGGCTGGGACCCGCGTCCCGCGCCGCCTTCCTAAGGCTACTTTCCAAAGAGCCTGGAAAGTGCGACTACGCTGGTATCGGGATCTGTTGTGATTTGTCCTTAGTTCAGGCACCGAAGCTTGACGAGGGGTCCACAGCGGGCTCGGGGCTCGCTTCTTTTGGCGCGGGGAGCGAGGGTCAGTGCCACTAGGACCTCCGGGGCGGCTGCGGGCGCTTAGTTACTTGCGGGGCTTGGGGGGAGGGGGAGTCACTGGGATGGGGGAGGGGCGAAGCATCTGCCAGGGTCTCCGGGGCCCGGCCCTGCCCGACGTGGTCTGGTTCTTAAACTGTCTCGAAGGCTGTGCTTTCGAAAAACGTGTCCGCGGGCCTGTGGCCCGCCAAGTACCTTCTTGGTTCCCTGGGCACCGAAAGCAGCTCCTGCTCCCGTACCCGGGGTTGGTCCGCGCGCCTCGGATCTGCTCCTGGCAAGGCCCGGAGGCGGAGTGCGTTTCGGGCGACGGTAGCATTTAGGTCGACACTGCCCGCCCTCGGTGGAATTCCAGGGCAGCGCCCGAGTAGCAGGGGCCTTGGTGAAGGTTGCAAAAAGCCTCAAATTTAAACGTTAAAGGCTGAATTAAAATGCTAATTGCCGCGTATTTGAAGAATTCGAAACGGTGACTGGCTTCTGAGTTGCAAATTGGATTTGCGGAGCTTTGGACTGGTGAATGGCGGAGCAGGGGCTGGGGCGATTTTTTAACCATATAAGGGCGGGGTAAGGGGGAGGCTTCAGTGCTTGAGAATCCAGAAAAATTTAGATATCAAGAAACTACCTTCGACCCTGCGTGTTTGCGTGCGTCTATACTCGCGGCCCAGGGAATTTGCAGAGGAAGATATACCATTTTAGGAAAGTGAAATAGTTCAAAAATTCGGGAATAAAACTGCAGCGCTTTTTGTGATCAACAGCTGGCCTTAATAACCCGCTGCGTTGTTTTTGTTTTGTTTTGTTTCGTTTTGTTTTGTTTTCTGCTCTGCTGCTGCGGGAAGCGCGGCCCCACCGCGGGAGACTCACCGTGGGAAAGGCGGCCACGGGCGGGCCGAGGGGTTGCCTTTGGAGGTTGCCTGCCAGGTCCCCGCGTACCCCACTCACTCGGGCTCTTGTCGGTTCCAGGGCGCGCCCTACGACGCGCACACGACTGGGATGACGGGCGCCATCAGCTATCATCCGTATGGCAGCGCGGCCTACCCGTACCAGCTCAATGACCCAGCGTACCGCAAGAACGCCACGCGGGATGCCACGGCCACTCTCAAGGCCTGGCTCAACGAGCACCGCAAGAACCCCTACCCCACCAAGGGCGAGAAGATCATGCTGGCCATCATCACCAAGATGACCCTCACGCAGGTCTCCACCTGGTTCGCCAACGCGCGCCGGCGCCTCAAGAAGGAGAACAAGATGACGTGGGCCCCGAGGAACAAAAGCGAGGATGAAGACGAGGAGGAGGGTGACGCGGCCAGGAACAAGGAGAGTCTGGATAAGTCGCAGGAGGGCACTGAGACATCGGCGGAGGACGAAGGTGAGCGAGACCTGGTGGGCTGGAAGTCCAGGGGAGTTTTCTTCCCAGGCGGGGCGCAGAGCTGAGGGAGGGGAGGACGCTGCTGGCCTTACAGCCGCCTGGCAAGGAGTGGGCCTGGCAGCTAGTGGGCCTAAAGATTCCTTGGGGTGCTTTTCAGGGAGTCCATGCTCCCCATAGGCCTTGGTAGGTTCTGGGTGGAGGTGAGGAATCTTATGGGGAGGGCCTGGTACACTGGGACATGGGGGCAGAGGGGTCCCAGGTGCCCCGGCTGCCCCACGTGCCACAGACGGTGCCCGCGTCCCCACAGGGATCAGCCTGCACGTCGACTCGCTCACGGATCACTCCTGCTCTGCGGAGTCTGACGGGGAGAAGCTGCCTTGCCGCGCCGGGGACCCCTTGTGCGAATCGGGCTCAGAGTGCAAGGATAAGTATGACGACCTGGAGGACGACGAAGAGGACGAGGAGGAGGGCGAGCGGGACCTGGCGCCATCCAAAGCCGTGACCTCGTCGCCGCTCACCGGCGTGGAGGGCGTGGAG